GCGGATAATATAGCCTTGCGAAATTTGCAATTTTCAGTCATTTTGTATTACAAACGGGAAATTGATGCCCCAACACCCGATTAGGCTGTCAATTTCCCGTGCGTAATACAAAATGACTGAAAAACGGCAAACTTCGCAAAGGCTATATTATCCGCATTTTATGCGGATAATCCTCATCCCTTATTGGTCCAGTGTTAAAACTGTGAAACTTCATTCGTAGTTCTGTTTATATATTATGCGTTTGTATATTTCAGGGAACTCAACGGACTTGGCCAGCGGTAGTCCGGAGTCTTCATCACGAAGTGTCAGCGGTACTCCCGTGGCGTTGGAGCGAAAACTGGACAGGACAGTCATGGAGAAGATCGAACAGTTAGAGAATCAGGAAGGCTCACTGGATGCACAAACATTCCCAGCTGTCCCTAAACCGACCAGTGTGATCCTACCTAACCCGCAAACAACAGCGAGTGCTACAACGGCAGATGATACCGCAAGGAATTTTGAAGGTGTACCACCCGCAACTTATAAGCAGGTGAGATTTTAGGGTGTTCAAATGAACCCTTGCTGAAAATTGATTATAAAAGTCATGAAAAAATTCAAAAGAATCAATGTTTAATTAATACACGAGAAGTGTGCATCGGATCGGATTGGACGTTTGGCTGATGTTTAAAATCCGATCCGAAATTGTCTAATCCGATCCGATCCGAGTTTTGATAAAGAATTCTGATCCGATCCGAAGAATCCTTTAATGAAATAAATTTCTCATTCAAGTGGAAATATTTAACCAAATAAATATAAAAGCAAGAAATACATGTCAAGAAGCTGACAAAGTGACGTCCAGTTGAAGTATCAAACGAATAATGCAGCGACAACCGAGTTGTCGTGGATAATTAATTCATTTTATTTCGAATATCGAAGTCCGATCCGACTGCGGAACAACTTTATCAATCCGATCCAATCCGAAATGAATATTTTTGTTCCGAAATCCGAACGAATCCGATCGGATTCGGATTGGATTTGCACACCTCTAATGCACACAAACAAAATTTTCTTTATTTGCATGAACTTTTTTCTCGATTTTCTCACTTAAAATCACTTCTTTTTTTATAATTTCTCAAAATACAACTGTTGAAATCTTTACGTTTCATAAGCTATATATCTGATACAAAACGGACGCTCGTGTTTGTATAATATAGCCTGCTTTACGCTATCACAATTTCTATGAACACAGAAGGAATTTTGCATCCGTAAATTCTAAGTTTGGAAAAATTTGTAAGATATGTTTGAGGGAATTGACTTGGTGTTAAACACTGAGTCAGTTTCCTCAAAGGCTCAAACATTTCTTACAAATCCGTCAAAACTTAGAATTTGCATATGCAAAATTCCTACTTGTGATCACAGAAACTTTGATAGTGTTTAGCAGGCTTATTACATAGATGCATCAATCACAGGGTGTCATCAATTCACTGGAAAGTCCTTGAAAATCAGTAGAAGTCCTTGAAAGTCCTGGAATTTATTTCCTAGTAAACTCCAGCTGTGCCAACATTAGTGATTTTGATTAAAATTACTGAATAATTAACAATTATTCGCCGAAGGCGAGGTGATTATCGGTGAATAAAAACCGAGACGAAGTCGAGGTTTTTATTCAAGATAATCACCGAACCTGAGGTGAATAATTGTTTTAGTATAATTTCATAGGTGATTATTTGGAAAAAAATTTTAAAATGCACATTTCTTCGTCTTTTAATTGACAGAACGGCTTCGGCCGCCATTTTGAAAATCACTTAGGTGATTATCGCGTAATAATCACCTCAACGGTAACCAATCAGCGTGGAGAATTTTCAATAATCACCCATGTAATTATACTAAAGTGAATTATTTACGGCAAATCCATGCCATTTTCGAAAATTTTTCCCAGTTCTAGCTCCTTGAATTTAATGGGAAAAAAAGGTCCTTGAAAGTCCTGGAAAAGTCCTTGAATTTCACCTTCACCAAAGGGTAGACACCCTGTCAATCAACATTTAACAATCTCCATCAGCCTCGATGCCAAACAGAAAGTCTTTTTTTGAATACACTTTCATTTCTTCTTTAGAATTACATCAATGACATGCCGTCAATTCCCGGATCAGATGCGCTCTCCTCATTGGTGAAACAAGTATCTTCGCTGCCATCCAACCCGGCAAACCGTAGCGGTGACTTTAACCCGGGGACTGAAAGACGACCGGATGTTCCGCCCCCTGCGTTCATTGACACCGACTCGCAGGGGAGTCTACTCCCGGATGTAAATAACCTAAACCCCGTGATCAACGAATCGCTTTCGATCAAAATATGGTGGCCCAAGGACCGAGTGGTGTTCCATAGGGTTCAACAGCTCTGCCAGCTCGTGGTTACTGGTGAATGGCCGGCAAAACCGGAGAAACCAGAAAGACTGGTGGATCAAGCTCTGCCTGCTGCTAGTGATGTATCTATGTCACCAGGTGGATTTCCTGCGTACGGAGACAGCGAGATGGATGGGGGTCTGGGACCAGAGGCTCTGATTGATCCTGTCTCGAAAGCTTTTAAAGTGAAAAAGGTATGTTAAGATATGGCGACTTTTCTTGAGTATATCAAATTTTTCAATCCGGTTTCCATTTGGTCGCTGTTGTCGTGAACTTGTCTGTATTTTTTGTGTGCTTGTATGATCGACATTCTATCACATTACATGTGAAATAGTCTGGATCTATCTTGTCTTTTGTGTACTTTATGTAAATTAGTCTCCACTGTTTGCAAGGTAAAACCACACTCTGGAGTATAGTGATTCTATTTTAATGATTTTTTTTAGCACGAGGGATTGAAGGTAACTCTCAAGAAAAATCGAAAAAGAAAGAAAAAAGACGGAGGTTTGAGCATTTTCTTTTTAAAAAACAACCTCCGCGAGGGTTTGTTTTGACATGATAGGGAGGTTAAAGGAAAATGGCAATATAAATTTTTATTTTCTCATTTGAAAGAACTTTTGAAACTAGATATTAACTTCTTTTACCGATTTTTCATATCTTGCCTAGTTCTTGCAATATTCTCACTTGAAGTAATGAGATGTCCTCCATCTTGGATAAATTTTGAATCTCATTAACGGTAGTTTTAGTGACGTCACAACAGGGATTAAGCATATAAAGTATTCGTTGCTGACCAAATATTGATTGGTAGATGTTTTAAAGTTTTTGAGTGATCTTGACATTTCGAAGGGCAGACAGAGTATAGTTTTGAGTGCAAAATGATTAGTGTTTGTCTAGATAAAAATATTACGTGACCCCTGTTGTGATGTGACATGCATATCTACAAAAATTGAAGATGGCGGACATTTCATTCCTTTCGATCAAAATATTTGTAGAAGTAAGCAAGATATGAAAAAAACGGTAAAAGTGTATTATATATAGTCTTGAAAGTTCTTTCAAATGAGAAAATAAAAAATATATATTGCCATTTCCCTTTAAGATTGACGTTTCTGATCCAGAAAAGGTTTCTGCCCTTTTCAAATTAGTTAGTTACTTGCTTGACCATTGCTAACATTGCAACGCACTCTTTCAGCAGGTGTGATCATGGACGGCATGGTTGATATGGACCTTCCGCCTGAAACACTCGTACAGCAAGCACCGTATCAGAATGACAGCAGCAACTCTTTGAAAATGGACAGTTCAGAAATGGCCGGACAACTACCGACGCCAAAGCCGCGGAAGAAACGCCAACGGAGAACGGACAAACCATCAAAACCCCCGGCGGAAAAAAAGAAACGCGGACGAAAGTCAAAAATGGAGAAATTGATGGCGCAAGCTGCTGCTGACGCAATACACGCAGGGTTGTCATCGCAACCAGGTGGGGATTGGGCAAGAGCGAACAGCAGTGGTGTGTTTATGCCTGGGGAAATGATGAATGGACCACAGCCCCACGACTCAGTTCTTGTTAATGATGTGAATATGAGGAGGGCGTCGCTTGACAATCAACTATCAGAGGTGATTATATCCATGTTTTTGTTATTGTTTCTGTTCTGGTTTCAGGATTACACATCAACAAGTTGTGTGTGACAACTTTGTAACAACTTGATAAAATAACAGCATTGTTACAACTTGTTGACAAGCTTGCTACAAGGCCTATTGCGAACACATCTTGTTAACAAGTTGTGAGATTTTTGCGTGTGTAGCTTACAAGCAATAAAGCGTTTTCCCGTGCTATTCTGTGTTTTAAAATGGTTTAATTGATTTGTTTTTAGCCATCGCGTGTTCCTCAACAAACAAACGCCGAGACAGCACCGCCATCGACTACTGTCAGGACCAGCGTCCTTAAGGTACGAGAAATTGTAAACTTCTTTTAATCGTCATTTTCTAAGGTTGACGACACAAGGTTGTAACAATATTGTTATATCATGACTGTATCATACTTGTTGGAACAACCTTGCAACGGCTTGTTGGCAACTTGCTACAAGGTTGTTGAGCTCAACAGACTTGTTACATGTTGTGCCAACAACTTGTTATAATCCTGCAATTCAACAATTTGTCAACAAGTTGTGAGTGACAACCTTGTAGCAACTTGATAAAATAACAGCATTGTCACAACTTGTTGACAAGCTTGCTACAAGCCTGTTGCGAACACATCTTGTTGACAAGTTGTGAGATCTTTACGTGTGTACGTTATCGTCTTGTAACAAGGTTGATGAGGCCAACAGACTCGCAACAAGTTGTTCCAACAAGTCTGATATCGTCTGCACGTAACAAGTTGTTAACAAGTTGATGATAACAAGCTCGTAGCAACTTGTTACGAACAGCCTGTATTAGTCTTGTTGGAACAATTTGTAGCAAGTCTGTTACCGTCATCAACCTTGTAACAAGGTGATAACAACTTGTTCCAGACTTGTCACAACAACTGGGAACAAGCAGTGCGAACACATCCTGATATCGGCTTGACAACAACCTTGTTACAACTTGTTTCCAGATCTGTAATTTTATCAAATTTATTTTTCATTTCCCTGACAGAGTACAACGAGTGCCGATGGAGATATTGAAGTCCCTCAGAGACGCCATAGTTCCACATCACCACGTCCCGACAATGACCCTCCACCACTTCTAAAATCCCCTAGTATACCGACCAATCCTGCGGTAATCAGTCCAACTTCGAAAACTCCTGTCCGTCTGTCTCCATTCAACAACACGGAGTTTCCCTTCGGCAACAACCCGTTTGTGAATTACCCAAACTATCCCAATGCTATTGGCTTTCCACACCGCAGCACCTCGCCTGGCTTTGCCGCGGGTTTTGCAGGTCAAGCCAAAACCTCGGCAGGTTCCAGCCCGACTTCAACAAGTTCGTCAGGCAGTGTCGGGTCTGGTGCTCAAAAGACTGTGTACGAATCTAGATTTCCCGCCAAAAGTCCCCCCGCGACAAAACTAAGCGAGTCTCTTGGTTTTAATGGCTTTCCAAGCGGCATACAGACTTCTACGGTCGCAAGCTACACGAAATTGGGACTTGAAGCTGACACGGAGATGAGGGCTTTTAACAGTGACTCTGATAATGAACCGAGCGATAGCTTGGAAGCTAGCGAAGAGGAAGGTATCCCATTGAGTCCCATGGCGTCGTGAGCCTCCTCCCCCCGGAAATTTTATGAAGTAATTCTCCACTGAACTTTATTGAGACTGGAACGCGACCTAGAATATTTTGGATGTACTAATACTTCATTTCTACAAGCGAAAAATTTATACTATTCAAAAAGATGGGGACAGGTGCACTGATTACAATCTGTTTATTTTTCTTCTGAAAGTGATGAACTATTATTTTTACTGCATGGTTTTAGATTGTTAAATTTATTCGCCAAATCTCCCACCGTTTGCATTTTCCTTTGAGAAAGGGAAGTTAAAAGCAGTTCAGTATTGGCATATTTTGATTGGGTTTCGGTTTCAGTTTTCCAAACCTTAACTCGACTCCATTTGTTTAATTTTGGTGTTTTTGTTATTGAATGAAATGCCATATTTTATAGAGGTCGCGTTTCAGTCTCTTGTTCTGGTAAAATCCTAAAGGAATATCCCGGGAATCTATAAAACAAATTAAAGTACCTTATTTATTTGGTAAAAATTAAATATCTTCCAAGTACTTTGTATTTAGTATAGCGAAGACTTTACGTTGATCCGGTTTTTCTTTAATTCTTTATAATAATACATTTATGTATACAATTTCCTATTTAATAGACACCAAAGACTGCCTTTGAGAGAATTTGTAACGCGCCTGTATGATATTTTTTAAATTCTAAAAAAACGTCCGTACTTTATTTATGCTTCAGGAATTTTCTATGTATCTTTGTTAATAGAATGTGAATAATATTGAATAACTATAGAACTGTAACGTCGATTTTCAACAGTGGTTGCCGCGTATTACTGTAATGTGAATTGAATAGATTTTTAAATTATGAATGTTTAATTTTGATTACGGTGAAATTATGGGTCCTTTACAATGGCTGACAGCTGGATGGCATGGAGAACAGTGAGAATTTCAAAACAATGAAAAGACAATGGAGAATTCTGATCACTGGATCATGACTGGATGGCATGGAGAACAGTGGGATTTTGAAAACAATGAAAAGACAATGGAACATTCTGATCACTAGATCAAAACAATGAAAAGACAATGAAACATTCTGATCACTGGATCATGACTGGATGGCATGGAGAACAGTGGGATTTTGAAAACAATGAAAAGACAATGGAACATTCTGATCACTGGATCATGACTGGATGACACGGAGAACAGTAGGATTTTCAAAACAAGAAAAGACAATGGAACATTCTGATCACTGGATCATGACTGGATGACATGGAGAACAGTAGGATTTTCAAAACAATGAAAAGACAATGAAACATTCTATCACTAGATCAAAACAATGAAAAGACAATGAAACATTCTGATCACTGGATCATGACTGGATGGCATGGAGAGCAGTGGGATTTTCAAAACAATGAAAAGACAATGAAACATTTCTATCACTGCATGTATTGATTTGCATCCACAGTGCTATGCGTTGTTGTGGACCGTAGTTGGAACACTACGGCAAACCACTTCGTTTATAGTGCAACTACTAACAAACGTAGTGAATTTTTAACGGAATGCTAACCATAACTTTATAGGACTCCTTATAGTGCAGGTAGACGCAGCCTAAAACATGCGTTTTTCTAATAAAATAGGAAAACGTATTTGTCACATCAAGTATAACACATTCAAAGGCTTTTCGGTTGTTAATTTTGTGTAGAAACCGTTAAAAAAGCCGTCGAAAACGAATTTGGAAAATTTCTCGAAAAATTTGCATATGACACGTAGCGTCTTCGAGAACTTGATCAGACATGCGCAAGGTGACGTCACTCATAAATTAGTAAGAGAAAAGCTAGAATCAAAAGACTTTGAACGCTTGATCTGTTGTTCAAAAGATCGGCTGAAAAAATGTCTTACGCTTATCTTTTTAAATATATTATCATCGGGGATACAGGTATGAAAGTTCTTTTGCTACGGTAGCGTGTTTTTTCGCCTTATTTTAACGTTATAGTCAGGATTACGAAACGATCTTGTGACTCAATGACTGACAGGCGGTCGCCATTTTGAGTCGATTGAGTAAGGTTTTGAGTTTACGTTTATATTGAAAACGGTTCTTTCCTACATTCCAGGTGTTGGGAAGTCGTGCCTTTTGCTTCAGTTCACAGATAAACGATTCCAGCCCGTTCATGATCTAACTATTGGTGAGTTTTATTGTATGTATTTGTTTATTTACTTCAGAATATCAGATTTTTAAACTTTCACTGCACATGGTAAATTTTGAATTAAACTTGCCCTCAAATTTGTGCTGATCGCTACTCTACTTTGCTATCTAGGTGTCGAGTTTGGTGCTAGGATGATTACCATTGATAGCAAACAGATAAAACTACAAATTTGGGATACTGTAAGTGCTATTGAACTCATTCAAAATATAGTTGAAATCTTTTGTATTTTAAATATAGCTTGACTGTTATGCTATATTTGTTTAGCAAACAAGCAAACTGTATTTTGTGTAAACTTGTGTCATGATTACGGTGACAGTAAATGCTTTTCGGCCCATAGTAAGAATGAAAAATTTAGAAATTGGAACTCTTTGTTCAAAGATATTGTCTAAATGAAACCAATTTGTACTAGCTGGATTTCTGCAGATGAAATTATGCACATAAACAAAGAAAATCTCCCTCTTTGTCTGACTGCAAGTAATTTGTGACTTGGCCACAGTTTAACGTATCATCCTTTGCATATCAGTTAGCATTAAACTGTGTCATCCAGCAATGGCCTTTGGCAGGGGAATTAATCTTTTCAGACTTGCAAGTATGTCCGATTTACCCTACACAACTTTTGCCCAAAACTGTCATGTTCAACCTGCTTGCAACTTAAGTTGTACTGTGCAAATCAAGCACATAACAACCTTATGACAACATAGTACACAGTACAACTCGAGTTGTAAGCGGTTAGCCGGAGTTGCAATGCTTTTTCTCCCCGGAACGTAAGTCGGAATGACAAGAAATGTGACAACGTTGAATTTGCTGAAAGTATACATACAGGGTCTTAAATTTGCAGTATCCCTATATCCACAGGATACCAAAAATTTGGTTTTGGATATCAAACTGTGAATGACTTGTATCCCAACTGGATACTAAGAAAATTTCAAACATTAAGAAAATGTGAAACACCTTTGCATTAGGCACTTGCGATATTGAAAAAAATCGATATATCGATATCGAAAAAAAAAATATTGATAATATCGACTATATTGAATTATGCAAATGAGAAAGCGTAATTTAGTTAACTTGCATGTATACGCATCACAAACAGTTAAAAAGAAGTGCATGAAACCAGTCATGGTACGTCTCAAAGATTTATTAACATATAATAAGCTTAAAATATATAATATAATGTTTATAAAATTTCAAGCGTTCAATGCCACTGCTTGGTGATCTTTTGTGGTCACAGCTTCTCTGTTTTCACTTTTAATTTCAATTGCCCACGCACTTGTATCATAAACTCGCAATTGCTGCCATACGCACGTTGTTTAAATCAATTGCCGAATGATCGAAGAGTTGCTAAAAATCGAATATTGAATATTGATATTTTTAAATATCGATATTTATCGAAAATATCGATATATCGCAACTGCCTACTTTGCATGACGGGCTCCTGATAGCTTTTGAATACTATCAGTTTGCCAGAAATTTGTTGAAGGATTATGTGCATTTTAGTGTATATTTAATGAATTTTTAGTTGTTGACTGTTAATGAGTCTCCTGTTGTTATTGTAATTTGTAACAGTGAGAGTTATGGAAATGTATTTGGATGGGACAGGGTATAATACTTATGGCAACCAGTATCCAGAAGTGGGATACTGCATTCTCAGGGGGATACTAAACTTTGAATCCTGGTATCCCAGTTGGATACTGAGAAAAAATATAAATTTCAGACCCTGATAATCCTGGAGTGATTTCTGTTATGTCAAACCAAGTGATTATGTCTGTGATTTACCTATCACAGGAGAAGTTGTAAATCGCTTAATCGCTGACGTCATGCTTTGATATAGCACTACTGTGTGGCTAAATCTTTTGAGGAGCACTTTGAAATGATGTTTTTACATGTTAGACACTGATAATGAATGAATGAATGACAAAATATGGCTGATCAAAGTGTTGTACTTCATTAAGATTTATGTCAGTGATTTGAACACAAAGCAATGTCGAGGGTGAACTTGGTTTCCACCATTTAACTGATGAAAAAAGCTTGGCCTAATTCTCAACAATATGTTTTACACAATTGGAAATATACAGATAATTCTACTCATTCTGATTGTCCATCAGACATTTTCCAACCAATTTAGCATTTGGTCGGACATTTTGTCTGGACGAAAAACTTGAAAGACTGGGTTAACCATAAGCCTTATACAATCCTACACAGAATATTAAATGTGTTAAAAGATTTAACTATACTGGCTGGTGTTTTGGCATAAATTATTATTTACTGTATATATTGCCTTAATTTACCTAATGAAGACATGAAATCAAAAGGAATCGAAAAAATGTCCGACCAAGTTTGAAAATTTCCAATCAAATTTCATTTTGGTCAGATATTTTTCTGGACATATTTGTTATTTCGGGCTCTGCAGATAAGGCAAAAATCGGTCCGATACCGATTATTGGTCAATCACATATTGAGTGACAGCACTCTCCCCTTGACAAGTAAAATTGTCTGGCATTAGACAGAGTAAAATAATAAAGTTGTCACATCAGGGCACATTGCCACTTAAATGGTTAACAGTTCCGGGTTGAACTTGTGGACGGATATTGTTTACAGATCCAGTTCCAACTGGAATTTAAAATATTGGTTTCGGTGCACCCCTAATGACTGTGCCACCTACGGCCTCATTCTTACAGGCAGGACAAGAGTCGTTTAGATCAATTACAAGATCCTACTACCGTGGCGCCGCTGGTGCATTATTAGTTTACGATATAACAAGAAGAGACACATTTAACCACCTGACAACTTGGCTTGAAGACGCTCGACAGCATTCCAGTTCAAACATGGTCATTATGCTGATTGGAAATAAAAGGTAAAAGTATTCATAATACTTTTGAACTAATCGATCGTTGGTCACTTGTTTGGCAAAGCTTTCCCTAGGTAAGCCTATATCTGGATGCTTAAAGTAAAGGCTTCACAATATAGAATTTGTGGCAGCTCTGTGGTTTCGATTTGACCAATGTTGTTCGAGGCAAAAAAGAAGGGTGAAAATTAGGAGAAAAAACTGTTTGAAACTCAGTAATATTAAAACAAAATTGGCACCTTGTCAAAATTACAGCACTAGTTCAATATTTTCTGATGAAAATTCAAACTTTCAAACGTTAAAAATATGAGAAAATGGCACACCTAATGGTGGCTTACCGCTTGCATATTAAGACAGTACTATACCATTAATACAATTGTTTTTCTTGAACAATACATGTAGCATGAAGTTTAATAGTATATTTTCACATAAGTTATAAAAAGTTTTTTCAGATGGCTTTCGGTTTTTCTCTGAGTGATCCATCCTAGATCTGACCATAGACAATCCAGAAGACATCTGGATCATCTATCTTCTGGATTGTCTATGATCTGACAGAAAAATAAATATTATCGTTTTTAGTGATCTTGAAGCGAGACGCGAAGTAAAACGAGAAGAGGTATTTTTTTATCAATTTCAGTATCGTGCAGTAGTGCAAACTCAAGTTTGATTAAAACAATCACTTTGCAAGATTGATTCTAGTTTACAGTAGCTATTTGTTATAGAAAATTTCAATTTTGTTTTAGGGTGAATCATTTGCCAGGGAACACGGTCTTATTTTCATGGAAACTTCAGCAAAAACGGCCGCAAATGTCGAAGAGGTGTGAATTTCATGTCTGTTGTTATTTAAGTTGTGTAACAAAGTTTCTGTGAATCCTGCAAATCCTTCAAAACTTTGAATTTGCCATTGCAAAATTTCTACTGTGATCGTAGAAACTTTGACAGTGTTAACCTGCCGTAATGTTGATGGTGTTATCATTTTGTAGGCATTTATCGATACGGCGAAAGAAATTTACAAGAAAATCCAGGAAGGGGTATTTGACATAAATAATGAGGTACTGTTTGAAAATTGGTTTCTTTGCTGAGAGGGCTTGTTTGTCTCATTTGTAGCAAATTTGCCAAGAAGCCGTCAACAAGTTGTGTTCGCACTGCTTGTCCCAAGTTGTCAACAAGTTTGGAACAAGCTGTTAACAACTTGTAACAACCTTGTTGATATTATCAG